GGAGGGGGGAGAGGAGCTAGGAAGGGGGAGGGGAAAGGAGGAGGGAGCAGGAGAAACGAAGATTGGAATAGAAGAATTAAAGAGCCTCTTTTCAGTGGGGGAGACAACTCTGGCCTTATAACCTAGAGAGCTAATAAGGCACTGGAGCAGCCAACAGCCTTGGTCCTAATGTGGGAGACAACTCTTGTCATCAAATGCTCTGCGTGCAGGTGGGGGGAGGTGGCAGGTTCTCATCTCCTCCACAATTAGAAGTACTGATAAAGTGCTTCCCGTACTCTAGACGATACGCAAATTAACATGAAGCTGCTGGATATTTTTAAAAGGCAGAGGGGAAGGGACCTTTATTAAGGTATTTTGAGAACAAGCTCACCTCTGCTATTTCTTCCTGGCCAAAAGCAGCACCAAGACCTAGAGACAGAGCTGTGGCTTTCACCCCCATTCAGTTCTGTCATCCATACTTGGACCTCCCATTTCTAAGAGCGACTCCACCACAAGTTCTTGTGCTTGCAGTCCTAGCCTCCCACTTCTAACATTCACTCACACCTATTTCCTTTTCTGTTTGCCCTCATTTGGAAATCCCAAGGCTTGCTCTACCTCCGAGCACAATCATCAGTCCTCACCTGGCCTTCCCTGCTCTCACAACCCTTCAGCGATGCTCCACAGGGCAAGCTGGAGCCCCTCCCCCATAGCTTCTCCACTGTCCTGTCCTGCAGGTCTCCAGCTCTGGATAACATAAAGCACTGGCTTCCCACCCTCCTGCTGCTCCAAGGCTACCAAGCACTGTTGAACAAAAGAATGCCATTGCTCTCTGAGGAGTTAGATCATACTCACTTATTGTGGGGAATCCTAGGGGAAAATCCCCCAAGTAGCCTGAAAGGCCCTGACACCATTCATGCAATTATCTAAAACAAGATAAGCCAGTCCTTTCCCCTAAAATATCTGCATGTCTGCACAGAGGCAGAAGGCACAACACACTAATTCCCAAACATGAAGTCCCTTTCTTTAGTAATCCAGCTGGTTTGCCCTCTTGCTATATAGTTCCCTAAACAAGTAAAAGAGCAACTTGTCCATTTAAAATTCAAATAAAGCACAAGAAAGTTCTGATGCTATTCCTTGGGTAGAGGGTGCACTTGGATGACATTATGCTTATAATTTCACTAAAACTCTACAACCTCTGCCCAAGGAAAATAACCACCGGCTGCCCTCTCTGCAGAGGACGCCCACTAGAACCTGAATATACTCAGCTGTGAGGCTCCACTCTCAGCTGCCCCATCTGCACCGGCACCATTACCAAGGAAGCAACACAACTCAGACATTCCTCTTCAAACTGGGCTATAGCAGCGCAGATGGTACCTACCCTCTTGCTGGGCCACTGCATTTAATAAAGACTAAAACTAAAAGTGAAAAGACGAATGACAAACTGGAAAATATAAATAAACACACAATCTATCTCATATCATAAAGGACTGATCTCAAATATATAAAGAGCTCCTGGAAACCAATAATAAAACTACGAATCTAATAGAGAAAGGGCAAATGGCATGAATAGACATGTCACAAAAAAGATATTAAAATGAACCTAAAGCAGGTTAAATTGATGTTCAAAATCATTCATAATAAGAAAAGTGCAAATTAAAACTACACTGAGATATTATTTCTTTCCTAACACATGGCTTGGAGAGAGGCACAATTCCATGCTGTTGAAATGAGTGCAAACTCTGAGACTTTCTATAGAAAATTTGGCAATCTCCACTAAAGTTATAATTTCAAAGCTTCATTCACTGGGTATATACCAGTGCAGAAAAGTGGCAAAAGCCCCTGGCCATTACGTAGCTTTTATTCTATCAAAAACAGAAAGACTAATAAGCAAAATAATAGCATATTAGAATGTAGTAAGTCCTGTGCAGAAAAAGAATAGATCAGGGTACAGCAGATTGGGAATGACAGGAGAGTCGTTGCAATTTTAATACGATCCCTAGGACAGACCTCAGGGAGGAGGTGTTCCTTGAGCAGCCTTGAATGAGGTCAAGGAGTAAGCAGTAAACATAGCTTTAGTCAAAGCATTTGAGGCAGAGAAAAATAACAAGTGCAGTGCTTGTAGCAGGAATGTCCCCTGGCACTTAATCTGAGAGAAATGATGATGCTTATTAAAAGGTTTGAAGCAGAAGACAACATGACCTTACCCGTTTTCAATAGGATCTGCCTGGCTCTGTGCAGAGAATTAGCTGTAGAAGGGCCAGAGTGGATGCAGACAGGCCAGTTGGAGGACATGTGAGCAGCAACAGTGGTTTGGAGTGAGGCAATAGCTGGATATATAATGAAGGTAGAGCCAACAGGATTTCCCGACAGGCAGAATGTGAAGTAGGAAACAAACGTGGAATCCGAGTGTTTGGACAGAGCCACTAAAAACTGAAATGGGGAAGATCATAGCTGGATCTGGTTTGGGGACGCGAAGATCAAGAGTCAGTCTGGGAGATACCACGTTTGCTGCGTGGAATAGGTCAGGTGACCCACTGATCCAGCAAGCCTGCGCCTGGGAATATGTTCTACACATTCGCCTGCTGTGTACAAACTCTATTCGAGGTTATACACTATGTCCCCATAACAGTAAAAGATCAGAAGCAACCAGGACTAGAAACAACTGTACTTTTAAAAGCCCTGTTGGTTTCACTTTCCTTTTCAAAAACCTACAAAGGCTTCCCAACACTTTCAGAATTCAGTCCAAATTCCTTTATCAAGCACTACAGATTCTGATACAAACACACCTCTCCCAGCTTTACCCAACACACTGCCCCAAAATAAGACTCAGTGTTTTGCACCCAGCACAGTGTCTCATCTCTGCTTTAGCCACTCTGCGCCTGCACACTTCCACACAGCTGCACCCAGCCTGCTGTGCACGTCCCGGTGCTGTCAATGAGCTGCCCATCTGGAAAGAATGTGTCCTTCTTCTGCCTTCTCATGCTATGCCCGTGACTTCTTAGCTTCCACAGTGTGTGTTAGGTGCAAAACACATCTTTCCACCCTGGTCAGGTAGTCCAGCTGGTTAGAGTGTCATCCCGATATACAAAGGTTGTGGGTTCGAGTCCATAATCAGGGCACATAAAAAACCAACCAATGAATGCATAAATAAGTGGGACAACAAATCGATGTTTCTATCAAATCAATAAATAAAAATTTTTTAAAGTTTTTTTTAAAAAATCTTTCCTTACCACCTAAACTACAATCTCCTTAATAATTCTATCCATAAATTAGTCAACTTCACATACCCTAAAGCATATTTAGCATGTTTTATATTCAACAGACATTCAAAACACTACGTTATGAATGAACAAATGAATTGATTTTATATACAGAAAAATCCTCACTTCTGATGCGATGCTCTAAAAGTGAAAGTCTTCAGAAACTCTTACACAGGAAGAGCTTTAAGATTCCCTGGGTTCCTTGGTGGAATGAAAACACAGAAGCTCTGAAGTCCTCACAGAGACCTTCCTCTCTCACCCCCTCCTGAGTCTGCTGCACTTGCAGTTCTAACTCCCAGGGCTAGAGAATGGAGCTCCCGGGACAAACCCTTTCACATTCCAGGTGAGGGCAGGTTGCTCTTGGTGAAGGAGCTAGAACTGAAAAGAAGAGATTATGTAACTCAAATTTCTTAGATGACATGACTTACCAAGAGAAGGACTTCACATGTTCCTGAATCATGATCCAGGTCCGGCCAAAATCATCTGACTTCCATAGCTGCAAAGACCAAAGCGACAAGAGTGGCTGTGATGTAAGACAGGCAGGATCTACCTGGCACTGCCCAACACCGGCCCCACCGAAACCGCATAGAAACAACCCACATCCGAACAGGCACCAGAAGCACCAGCCAGCTCCGCGGCTCCTAGTGCAACCTGGGCAGGCAGGGGGAGCAGGCCTTGCACCTTTGCCTTTCTCTCCATAGTTACTAAGATCTCAACAGAAACTGGAAGGAAAAATGACTGTAACTTGTCTGCCACTTACAGATTATCAGAAATTATATTTTACTCAAGACGAGCCCTTGGATAATAGTAAAAATAAAAGGATTATACTTGGTATTTCTCACCTGGGAAAGTGTCCTTAAAAACGCACAATGGCCTCAGTGTTTAAAGCTGAATGGAGAGGACAGTGGCAAAGTACAAAATCACAAAGGACCAAGGGGGACCAACTGAATACAGGGTATAGCTACGAGTAATTAACTTGCCAAAGCCCCTCAACTTCCACAGACACAGCCCGAGGGTCCCTCTGGCCCTGGAAGCCATGTATGAAGAAGTGGTAGCCCAAAAATAGCAATAATCCCCTACACTGGCAAACTGGTCCTGCCCATACCTAGGTTACTCCCTAAGGCGTGTGAGGTAAACAGATCATGTTTTAGCTAAACAACCTGCAAAGAAAAAGAAATGTTCCAAGGTTATTCTGAGCAGTCATTCAAAACTCATCACGGATCCAATCCTACAAGATCAGCAGGTTTCAGAGGACTATGCCAGACCAATCCCCTTGACTTGGCAAGTTTAACCTTGACATGTAATTGCTGCTCTGGCTCTCTCTCCCCACTGCTCGCCTCTTCTTCAAATTCGGATTAAGGGAGGAAAATACACACATTTATACTACAGTCATGTGCACACGTACACTAAGAAGCATACTGATGTCAATGGTAAATTCAAATAAACGGTAGACAACAGCAGTGTGCTTAAAGCAGAGGACAGAAAAGGTACAACAGAAATGTGTCAGGAGGTCCCAGCAGAGCTCAGACTCCAGACTTTTCTCTCCCCAGCTCTCTCTGAGACTTACAAAGGTTCACCTGCACCCAAAAGAGCATCATTAACCGATGGGGCTGCCAAGTACTACCTGTTGTTCTCTGGCTCGGATGCAGACTGACAGTGCTGGGGTATCTTTTTCCTTAGCCATGGAAAGTAAAACAGCCACAAAGGCTAAGCCTGGGAGCCAAGGAGGGAGGGGCCAGAGGGAGGTCACTCAAAGGACAAACAGAGCACACGGACCGAGGGAAGAATGGGAAACTGGAGGAGCCCCGCCTGACTGTGTTCTGGAAACTCTCTTACCTGCTTGTTGGGGTGAGACCTGTCAAAGCCCAGGAGAAGGTTGGAGGCCTTACTATGCAGGAGGAGATCAGCTGCCCGGAACGGGATGGAAAAGCCTTGGATGGTGTTGCAGAAGTCAAACGTGATCCAGAGGTACTGGGCATAGGCGTCTGCAAAGATGTACTGCAAGGGAAAGGAGATGAGCTCGGAGCAGAACCCAGCCAGAGCTGCCCAGCGCCCTCCAACAGTGTTTGAGGGCCTGTGGACGCAGGGCCGATCTGCCCAACGCAGGGCCACGCTTGCAGGCCTCCACGCAGCGTTTCACTGTCTCCCCACAATGAGGAGATGCTGGAGCACACCCAGCAAGGCTCAGCAAAGGAAGGGGTACGGGACGGGCTGGTGGGGCCCCAGACAGTGCTCTCGGCTAACCCGGTAACGAAGCTAGTCAAGCTCAGTTTTCTTTCAAATGGCTGAGCCATTCTCATTTCCTGGAGAATCATCAAAGGGTGACTACCGAAAGCTGGGACATGGAAGTCCTGCCCTTCAGACTGGCTGCACGCAGATGGGGCTGCTGTCTGTCTCTGAAACACCCTTCCAGGAAAATTAGCTTCACCTCTCGCCCCTATGCCAGGTGACGGGGAAACTCTAACAACCCAGCTGCCACTAGGACTGAGAACTCACTGAGGCACAGCGGGAAGTGGCTCTGTCCAGCAGGCGCCCCACCTTACTTTGTTCCTGCACAGCTGAGTGAGGCCTTTGAACACATTTGACCAGAGAATGACTGTGGCCCAAAGAGTCTCTGAGGGGAAAGGAATGAGGTGACTCAATTTAACAAATCATGGGCCAGACCCTGGGGTGCCACAGTGAAAACACAGAACCCTTCTTCTTCGGAAGCTTAGAATCCATGTGGGGGAAAGACGCGTCCACAGCTCACTATAACTCAGGGGAAATGAGATTAAATGAGAGGCTGCAGTGTGTCCTATAAGCAAAGACTACGGATTGGCGAGGTTTGCGAGACAAGAAATGGCTCCATCTAAGATTTAGGCCACAAAGGGCAGGCAAGACTTTCAGAGGGAAAGAATGTTCCAAGTCCAGGGCAGCTTGAATTTGGGAACAGAGGAGGGAAAAGTACACATGGGCCTGACGCCAGTCGAGGCCTGAGGGAAAGGCCGAGGTGGCAGCAGGCAGGGTGCACAGAGGTCTGATGGCAGCCCTGTTCCTGGAAGGACAGGGGGCTCAGTGGACGCTGTGAACCAGAAACCAGAGCAGGGGGACCCATCTGTCTGTGAAATTCTGGAAATCAACAACCCCAAGGAATCGTGCTAACGCTCTACTTCTGTGGCTCCCAGGCTGCAGAGCATGCCCAGCTTGGAGTCCTCACACTTGTCCCCATGCTGCTTTCATTTGTTCCTGCACCTTTCCCTTTGCCCTCTCTCCCCAAATCTGGACTGCAAGCTTCCCAGGAAGATGTTTTATGGGTTTCTCTCCTTGTGTTTCCTCCACAGCATCTAAGATAAAACTCCAGTCTCTGTAGAAGCCTAATGAACTACCTCTAAAGGCAGTAAATGTTCTGAAAGTAAAAACTACTCTAAGCAAACATAATGTCATAAAAACAGTTATGACCCTATGAGTGCCATCATAACTTTTTGCATAAAAGTGTTCCCTAGAAATAACTTTGCCTGTCCTGCTCTGACACTGTTCTGGGTCCTCAGGTAAGGAGTGCTCTAAGTTTGAAAAGAAATCTATCCCGTGGCTTCTTGCAGTTTCATGTTTCACAATCTACAAATCGTGCATCCAGTCATAGAACCAACATACTCCAAGAGCCGTGACTTTGTGCCAGGCACTGAGCTAGCAGTTTTGCATGCTTGTCTCATTTAGTGTGCATTACCTCTCACAGCAATCCAAGGCTTTAGATATTCTTACTATACCCTCTTTTACTAATGAGGTCCCTGGAGCTCAGAGAGGTTAACTGCCCAAGGTGACGCATGAGTGGGCAGCATTCACATCAATGTCTGGCTGGCTCAAAGCACGTCTCCTAACAGCTCATCAGCCCTTACCTCTTTTCTCCCATCCAAAAGGCAACACCTCCTGAATCTAATGCATATATCTTACATTGTACTGTTGGACTCATTTATATGCCTTCTCTCTTAATTCACTCCTTTTACTGGAAACTCTCTTCTCTTACCTCCTGCAACAGTGTCCCATCTCAGCCATCTCTGTCCTTAACTCCTTTGCTGGCTCTTTTGCTTTGGTCCACTCCCTGTGCTCACGCTCAGGCTCACGTAACCCCATCACACTTCCATCCCAGCTGATAACTCTGTTCACCCTTCTACACAGCTTCAACAAGCGCCTCCAAGAGCAAGCGTCCCTGGCTTCATTTGGCAGCCTGACCGGGCTTCCCAGGGTCCCTGGGTCGCGCCTCCTTTATCTTCTCAGCGTCTCCGTCTTCACCCTCGCGCCCCGACACCTCACTGCGCCCAGATGCCTCACCATGCCGACACCTTCCTGCCACACCTAGTCCCCCCGCACCTCCTCCCAGCCCCGGTACTCACGACTAGAGCTGGGCTTTTACTCCGCTGCCTTCCCCTGGCCCCCACGTTCACCAGCAACCTACCCTCTCATGGTTGCCTTCAGAATCTTTTTCACAATCCGAGTCTTTAGTGCTACAGGATAGCCCAGAGCCCTACAGAAGGCAAAACCAGGACAAAGCCCTGGTTTGTTCGTCCTCATGTCTTCCAAGGCCTGGCAGGTGTGAAATGCTTAGGGTGGAACTAGGCTTGGCCGAGGAACTAGGGTACTTCTTGCCTGCATCGCCATAACGGTTCCCATTCTGACTCCACCCTAACCTTTCCGTTCCATGCATCCTCTATATTTCTAGGATGCGGGTTTCCCTAAGAGGCATTATTCATAGTAACTCCCCTACTCAAAGATTCCTCTGGTTCCCTACAGTCTTCAAGCAAAAAGCAAACTCCTCCATCTTCAGACAGGAACCTGATTAAGGTCATGCGGCACCCGGCGCACACCTCCACGCTGAGCAGCGATCTCTACGCGGCCTGCGCAGGAACCACACGCTGGACCCGGAAGACTCTACCAGGCCTTCTCCTCCCCCAGGACACTCCCACCAACCCTGCTCCAGACCCTGCAGCTGTGACCTGCTTGAAGCATCCATTCTACCCTAAACACCCGTAAGGCCTTTACTTCTCCGCTGTCCTCATCCCGCTCCCCAGCTCTAGCCTGCAGTTCCACTCATCACTCAGGGGGGTGCTTCAGTGCAGGATGTAGCCACGTCTCCCATACACACAGGACAAAGCCACAGCCTATCTGCTCGGCTTTAAGCTCCTGTACTTTCCCGGCTGTCAAGTCCACTCACACTGCCCACAGCTCTGGCAGCAGACCTCATCTACAAGGTGCTTTCTGAACGACACAGGTCCGGTGTCCTCACACCCATCTCTCCAGCCCCGGGTGCACACACAGGATTCCAGACGAGCTTCATCCATTAGCCTAAAGCTGTCTCCTCTGAATGTACAAATACCTCTGGACGGAGAGCAAAATAAGCAATGGAATTTATCTCCACGTTAGCATAAGGGGCTCTCTCCCGTTTGAGTGCAGAAAGCACAGTGCAGTGGAAGGAGGGTGGGCAGCAGTGGCAAAGGAGCACACCCCAAGGTGGCAGGAGCCCGGGGGGGGGGGG